GCACACTTTACTCTTGCTTGAGTCCAGGTATCTTTTTATAGCTGTCAGTCAGGTCCTTCTGTAAACTGTAGTTTAATTTGTGTATACATCACCGCGATAAAAACTGTGGACGCAGAGGGACTCCATTTTCGCACAAGAACGGGAATCCCCGTTGACCTGCCTGGCCCATAAACAGAGAAGGCCGTGTTGTCAGTATAGTGGGCAGGCCTGCAGAATGTGCTCATAATTTTGTGGTCCTGTAATATGCATTTATTCAATCACTTTAGCATTCATTCATTCAAGGATGCTTAAATAATGGAGGGCTTTAACGTGATTCCTTTAGAATTCTCCAAGTGTTGCCATAACGTGTCGGAAGTCGCTTGAAAACACTTTTAAACGAAACCGTATGGTGGTAATGTTTATGAAAGTTCGCATTTTCTGCTGGCTGATAGTTTGGATGACACGACCTTGGCTTTCAAGTCGACCCAGCCTCCTTAAATGGGCCTAGACTCATATGCCCGTTGCGCCAGTGGCGTGTAAAGAGACTTTTACTACAGGATGAGAATAGATGTGTTAGGTACAGGGGCTTGACAAGGGTTGAAAATCCCAGTTATTCTGGAGTACCCTACGCTGGGGTATGCACACTACAGATAAAAATCTCTAGGTATACTAGAATAATTGTAATGTAGTAATTTCATAGTGTATATTTGTGTGTGTGTTTGTGTATGTGTGTGTTGTCTTTGTTTGCTGATAAAGTCTAATCGCCTCAACGTCTTTTGTTTGTTCACTGTAATTAATGTTGTAAAGCTGACATAAACTATTTTTTTTCTAACAATTTTATTCTCTTCCCGATAATTTCCTACCCACTTTTAAATCCAGCTGTACTTGGATTTCTACGCTTGGATGTACTAATCTGAGCGCACGAGTAGCACACATTTTTTACACAAACTTTGATTTTTCGTCTCCTTGATTTCTAGTTAACCAGGTCTTACTTTACACACTTCTTCTTCCCCTTCTCCATCTCCTCCTCCTTTGTTTTCTTCTTTTGATAGTACCTAGCGAAAGATAGAACTACTTGGAATGAGCTGGCTAAAGGGTCTATGCTCCAATGGGGTATAGAAGGCCGAAGAAGAAGATCGCCAATATATTTCGGAAAGGCACTTGATGATGATGATTCAGTGAACTTTCCTCTCCGTCTGCCCTCCCCCTCTCCAATCTTCACGGCTTTCTAAAACATGTTATTATCTGATAGAAATAGTAACTTTCAATTCCTCTGGTAATAAATTCAGCCTCAACCCAACACTTTTGTCACCGTCGCTTCTCTTCCAAAGTGCTCTTTTGTTAAGAATGCGAACAAATCCATTGCTAAGGACATTTCAGATTCTCTGGCATTTGAACCTGAGAGAATTAATCATTAATCAATATAAGATGAGAAGAGGGCGAACTCCATGTCAAGTTGTTCAGTTTGAAACATGCGAGGAATTTCTGAACACGTCACTTCTCCATTTAGAAATGTCATCTGTTCATAGCGACACTTTCGTGAGACCAAAACCATCTCCACTGAATATGCTGGTACACGAACGCCTCTACTCACGAACAAATAGGTCCACGAACACAATTGCCGAATTTTTTTTAACTCGACCCGCGAACAATACCTCGGTCCACGAACGTACAAATATGGCTTTACCGTATACCAGTGTCAGCAATAATTAACCACAAAGGTAGAGTTATAATTAATATTTTATATAATATATTTTTGCCACACATCAATCTAAAAAAAAAAAAAGACATGTTTCCGGGTGGGCGAAAGGATGAATTAGATTTGCATTAATTTCAGTGTGAAAAGCGGATTCGGTTCCCGAACATTTCAGTTCGCTAACGGTGTCAAAGAACGAGTTAAATTGGTGACCCGAGGCATCATTGTACCTTGTTAATTAGTTTAGGCAATCATGCTTCTCCCCATTGTGCCATCTCTAACAGGATATATTCATTCTAAATTGGACTTCCGGTCAAAATGGAAGATAGGCACGGTCACAGTTTTTAGTCATGGCAAAGTTGTTACTTCTGACAGACTGTGGCCGTTGAATTTTCCTCCATTTGTAGACTGAAAGGATTTAGTTTTGCGGCCCATTTACTGAGCTTAGTGCATGGCGTGACACTGTGAGCTGTGATTTAATTTGGAATTTTTTTTGACTGTGACCAGCCTGGTGTTGTGAACTGTAGGTTTAGAAATGGGGCGTGGCCTGTTGCCACAGTATTGGTGGTGATTTGTGTGATTAAAATTGAACGCGTATGCAGCTGCTGGTCTGTTTGTAACTGCTACTTCCGTCTATGATAAACTGCATTTCTAATGTCGGACTATTTGTGTTAGCACTTCTTGTGGCTGCCTTATGCTTTTGATACGTGTGTATTCAAGTAGATACAGTGAGACTACAGTCTGTGTACAGTCTGTGTCGATTTTTACCACCGGAACATTATGTTTTTTTTTCTTGGCACAGGAGCGGAGCAACTATGGGGGTGACACGTTTGGTATGAAGCTGAAGCTAAGATTACCAAGATTATCAAATGTATACCATAACTTAGTTTATGCCTATATCAGGGCACTGGTAACAGAAACAGTAGTTTAATGACATTAGTAATGTAGTTACAGTAATTATACTATCAGTAGTAGTAAAGGTGGTATAGCTGCAGTAACTGTTCTTGTGTACAAGCAGCAACAGCAGCAGTAGTAGTAGAAGCTGTTGTTGTATCTGTAGCAGCAGCAGCAGTAGTAGTAGTAGTAGTAGTAGTAGTAGTAGTAGTAGTAGTAGTAGTAGTAGTAGTAGTAGTAGTAGTAGTAGTAGTAGTAGTAGTAGTAGTAGCAGTAGTAGTAGTAGTAGCAGCAGCAGTAGTAGTAGCAGCAGTAGTAGTAGTAGTAGTAGTAGTAGTAGTAGTAGTAGTAGTAGTAAGAGTAGTAGTAGTAGTAGTAGTAGTACTAGTAGTAGTACTAGTAGCAGTACTAGTAGTAGTACTAGTAGCAGTAGTAGTAGTAGTAGTAGTAGTAGTAGTAGTAGTAGTAGTAGTAGTAGTAGTAGTAGTAGTAGTAGTAGTAGTAGTAGTAGTAATAGTAGTAGTAGTAGTAGTAATAATAGTAGTAGTACTAGTAGTAGTAGTAGTAGTAGTAGTAGTAGTAGTAGTAGTAGTAGTAGTAGTAGTAGTAGTAGTAGTAGTAGTAGTAGTAGTAGTAGTAGTAGTAGTAGTAGTAGTAGTAGTAGTAGTAGTAGTAGTAGTAGTAGCAGTAGTAGAAAAGACAGAAGAAAGAGGAAGAAGAAGAAACAGATTTAACACACACACACACACACACACACACACAAAGAGGCAATCAATATAAGTTTGACATCAGTCTTTCCCTCACACACACACGCATACACAAACCCACACACATGCGCGCGTGCACGCACACATGCACACGCACAAGCACACACACACACACCCACACACAAAAAGTAAACAGCACATACTGAACTCATTTGAATAACATTTCCACAAACAGATCTTTTCAGAAAAGTACCACAGAAAGCTTAACATACCATAGTACCTCGGTATACGTAGTTAATCCGTTCCTCACCCTTGGACGTATACCAAACAATATGTATACCAAACAGTACGTATACTAAACAGTACGTATACTGAACGAATTCACCCATAAGAAATAAAGGGAGAATGGCTAATCCGTTCCCACAGAAAACAAGCTAAGCATATTAAATACTGATGGTGATGTATAAAATGAGTTTATATACTAAATAATACTAAAATGCGTAAATATAAAAGCAATTTATTCATTCGTTCAATCATTCATTCATTCATTCATTCATTCATTCATTCATTCATTCATTATCCCGTTGAGCCATTATATGTCACATAGGGCTCCCAGTCTTCCCCCCCCCCCCATTTCGTTCTTTCCTATGCACTCATTTCGATATCATGGATGGAATCCAGCCCAGCAGCTTTAGCCTCTCTCTCATCAACGTTCGTCCCAGGGTTTCTCTTGGATATCCTTGCCTCCTTAATACCTTTATTTCTCATTGTAATGCCTGTTTGGTGTTTCTCTGCTGGTTTCTTCTCAGGATGTGTCCGATGCAGCGTCATTTTCTTTGGGTTATAATTGTTGATACTAGTGGCTGCCTAGAAATTGCTCTTATTTCTAGGGAGCTGCGTGGTCTCGGGGCATTGTGTCCGTCTCGAGTGCTAAAGTTTCTGGGTTCAATCCCCGGTAAGGGCTGGGATTTTTTTTTACGTAAAAAAAAAAAAAAAAAACTCTTGGCAGTTGGAAATCGAAAAGAGTACCATAACGGCTACTGGAGTTAAAAATCTACCCAAAGTATTTCAGGATCCTCGCCGGTGCTTCAGAGCATGTGCACTGTGCTGAGCTTCTTCGGACTTAATACTTGAGTTAGAAGAAGAATGGAGCACTTATGGGTTACTACCCGTGTGCCATGATATTGATTCGCTGTTCAAACGTCAAACTTTTTCTTTTCGCTCCTTTTGAACTCATCTCATTTTACTTTATTTTCATCATTTTGTTAATTAGATGAAACATAGGATAATTAAACCTTACTTTACCTTTCTGAGATGAGTCGAGTGCCTAATGAGATAAAACTAACAATGTAGGAGAAAGAGATGTTATTGATTGGAAGTAGTCACTTCCAATAAAACTTAAGAAATCTGAAATGTTGTTTTCTCTTTCTTTTGTTTTCTGTCTCTTTTTATTACTCGGACAGACGATGATATTACGGCTTGTTTTGGCTTTTTTGAGGTGAAACTTCCATGCAAAGTCATTGAAATGTATCTGTGGCTTTGCCTCAACAGAGGTACACAAAGATAATTCGCGCTGTCGTGACTAATTTTGAGTCACACAAGTTCGTCTTCCAAACAAAGGTCGCATACCAAGCAAAAAATGTTCACGTCTAAACAGAACAGGTTGAACGTATATCAAAGCGAAAGTATACCTAGGAACTATAGTGTATATATATGTGTCTTACCTGTTGCTCCCCTTTGGTAGCAGTCTCATGATGCAGCAACATCTCCACAGCCTCGACGTTCTCTTCATTGATGGCATGTAGCAAGGCATCTCCGACCTCTACTCCATGAGAGAGCAGCAGCTCTATCATCTCAATGTTCTCATTCTCAATGGCGATCAGCAGAGCCGTCCGTCCGAGCGGATCTAGACAGTTGACGTTCATTCCCGTTTTTCTCGCCAGGGCCAGGTATTGTCTTGTGGATGGAACATCACCTCGCTCCACCTGGACAGAAAGTAAATAAGCAACTACGTAAACAAGCCTGCAATTTACACAGTTAAAGTTATTTGCGTATCCTTTACAGGATGTTGCAGAACCGACCCCAGCATTTTTTGGTTGTTGTGGTTTTTCTAGGCACATTTACGTCCAGTAATTTGCCATTGCTTTCTGGGCAGTCGGCTTCCCGATACCACTGTCAAAACCAACGCAAGGCGCAAGACCCGTAACTGGGATCGAACCCCGCACCCTGGTATTACAAAACGCGTTCGCAATGCTTAAGTCACAGACACTGACTCTGTAGGACACTGAGGTCTTGACTTTGACGGTTAAGGACCGCATGACAAGTGCAGTAGCTAAGGAAGATAATTCTTTTACATTCGTAGGGCCAAACATAATTTCCTGTATGTTTCGGCTCAAGTACTGCAGCATGCATTTAGGGAGCTCATCCGCTGAAAAATTCGTTAGCTGAATCTAAATTTGTTAGCCGTGGCCTGGGCAGAAAAAAACCATCCTCGTTAGCTGAAATACCTTACCAGGGTCAATCGATGGCAGAGATTTGACTGTTTTCTATTATGTTTGGAAACATGATGATGATGACGATGATAATGATGATAAGAGAGATATATAGAGAGCGAGAGAGAGAGAGAGAGAGAGAGAGAGAGAGAGAGAGAGAGAGAGAGAGAGAGAGAGAGAGAGAGAGAGAGAGAGAGAGAGAGAGAGAGAGAGAGAGAAAGCTAGAACATATTCGACAACTGGAAACAATTATGGAAAGAGAGGGAAATGAAAAACATGACAGAAGACATTTTCGCCATGCTACTGAAAACTGTCTGCATATTCAAGCGCATGCAAAGTGACAAGCCACGTTATCATCACCAAGTGCGCCGGACCAGAGAAATTGGGAATGGGGTCCACCTGAGCACCCCAGCCTCCCCAACCCCACAATACATTTTAGATAAACAAATGAGAAGGGGGTCCTTAAAGGGCCTAGTTCTAGTCTGAGAGGGTAATAGCAATAATAATAACAATACCCTCACTGGGTTTCTGCGACCCTTTTTGGAGGAGGATAGATTCACTAGCCCCTCACCCGCCTCAACAAGCATGTCGTACAAGGCGACTAATTAGTGATGTTCACTTAGAGGTAAGAGTTCATACAGAAAAGCCAGATCTGTGCATACAAAACTCAAGTTCTGGAAAAAGGTCAATTTTCATAAATGGACCAACAACCAACGCTTTCACCACGAGTTCACGGCTTGTGAACGCTAAAAAGAACTAGTAGAAGAAGAAGCAGGCGAATAATAATAATATTATTAATAATAAGAAGGTTAGTTGCGTATCCTTTACAGGACGTTGCAGAACCAACCCCAACAGCATCCCTGGCTGTTGTGTGGTTTTTCTAGGCACATTTACGTCCAGTAGTTTGTCATTGCTTTCTCGACGGTCAGCTTTCTTGATACCACTGTCGAAACCAACGCAAGGCCCATGACCCGCAGCTGGGATCGAACCCGGCATCCCTGCATTACGAAGCGTTCGCATCGACTTAGCCACAGAGCCGACAGAAGAAGAAGAGGAAGAAGAAGAAGAGGAAGAAGAAGAAGAAGAAGAAGAAGAAGAAGAAGAAGAAGAAGAAGAAGAAGAAGAAGAAGAAGAAGAAGAAGAAGAAGAAGAAGAAGAAAAAGAAGAAGAAGAAGAAGATGATGATAATAGTAATGATAACAATTTGCTGTAAACAAATGTGACAAAACATTTGAAATAAAATGAACTGAACAAACAAATACTTTTGAAGATAACTTGTATACTTGTTTGTTTGTACAACGACACAGCATCATGACACAAGGGTGGTAACCCTAAGTGCTCCGTTCTACTTCTAACTGAAGCGTGAGTCCGAAGCTTCTCAGCGCAGTGCACGAACTCTGTAGCACCGGTGAGGATAATTTCTAAACATGGTTAAATATGGGTGTTGAGCATTGTCGGTCTTCTTCTTTTTCTGTTGTCGTCTCACTGATATCAGGTCTAAACCCAGTGTTGTGGTTTTCTGGATTTGTCTTACGCTTCTCGGGCGGATTAGGTGATGGATTTGTTTATCTTTTTTGCAAGTTTCTGCTACAGCATTTATCCGCCTCTTTCATGGTCTTCCTCTCGCCTTTCTCCCAGATTTTCTGCTGTAAATGTTTCATGTGCAGTTTTGACTGTCTGCATTCTCTCTAGATTGCCGAACCATTTTCTTCTTCTCTGTCAATACAATCCAGTCATAGCTGTAATCCAACTGTCTCTCTAATGAACCTCCTTACGAAGTGTCGTGAAATGATAGTCATTACACATCGGTTTGTAAGGCTGATAACCTGTCTTACCTGTAATCTGCACAAAATTCAAACTTGGACTCGCCCAGAAATATATAGTCCCTTATATCTATATATATAGGCCTGTATTGGACAACATTATTATGTCTGCCTTTTCTGGTTACTTTAACTAAACTCCACTTTTAAATGTATTTCTTTTGGGGATATATTTAGGGAGTTAATTGAGGTTTCTTGGAAACCGATTTACTCCTTGCCCCAGTATACAAGGAACTTCTTTTGTACCAACGCCTGAAATGTCTATCTGACGCCATTCTCCTTGCCAGCTTCTCAAGCCTCCAGATGTGTTAATCTGTGCCTGTATACTTTAAATTTTCAAGGCAATCTGGAAAGATCTCAGTTTTACATATGCTTGGGTAAGTTAATTATAGTTTACGAGTACCTAGAATGTTGTCTGTAAAGTAGTCACTGCTGTAGAGAAATCCATATCGGCTGTGTGATCTCACTTAGCTCTACCATTCTTGATCGCTAGAGTAGCGGATTCGAACGTAGATCTTCCACTGTACAGACTAAATAGCTTATGCACTCAATAAACCACCCATACTGATAAACATTTAATGCCCTTACTATTGTGTACGTTTTAAACTACTTACAGAATCTGTACATACGAGATGGGGACAGAATTGGGTCAGGGCTGTGTTAATCAAAGTATGTGTGTGCTTGACCCAGATCAATGAGTGCTGGGGCGGTTGGGAAAACTAGTGAATGCAGGTACTGACAGTAAATATTGGTGTTTGTGTGCAGAGTGAGGGGGATAGGGGGAGATGATATATGTGTTAGACCACTTTATCTATCTCCACTGCATATCTGACTTGCCTTCTCTTGCACTAAACAGACAGATAAAAATAGGAGACTTATGTCTTTTGGTCTGGAGAGGCAATCTGAGGAATGAAACAGGAGAGCAGGGAGGAGTCAGCAGATGGGAGTTGATGACTATGCTTGCTCTGTCTTTCCTGTCAAGATGTTACCCTCTTGATGATGACTAATGTTGAGTTATTTTCTTGACACGAAGTTCAAATCAACAGAATCCACTTCACTGTAGTATATTTTATCACACATGGCTCGGTATCTCTTCGCATAACGGGTAGCCGCCTGCTGCGAATATCACCAACAGCATGAACTCTGTAGCTACAGCGACGTTCCCCAGGAGTCTCCTTACACAACTACACTCACAAACAAAACGACGTGTCCGTGGGAAAGAACCACGTCCTTCAGAGTGCGAGGCAAATGGCTTGACGACATTTCCACGAAGACCATCAGCCTTCCCTACAAAGTCACTGGTATGGGGACATTTTGACTTCCTCTCTTCTTATTTCCTTTAATAATATAAGTAAAGTAAAAATCCCTTTTCACGCATTTAGGCGCATTGGGCATATGGGAAGAGCACCCATATTTTACTGACAAATCGACGCTAGGTGGGTAATGTGGTCAGCATTACGCCGGCCGTCTTTGCTTCCCCATGACATACATCCTGGTACCAATTTTTGGCTGGGTCGACCTGTGACGTCCCATACTGTGAAAAAATCCACGCAGCCAGCAGTGGGTTTTGATCGCGGTACGTTGGAATTACCAGTCGGACTCGCAACGCCTAAGCCACGGAAGCCGCATTTCCTTTAATAATAATAATAATAATAATAATAATAATAATAATAATAATAATAATAATAATAATAATAATAATAATAAAAAGTCAGGGGGCGGCTAAAATAGCGTGAGCCTCCAGCTCCCACCGCCCATGCTGAAAATAATGAGGTTGGGAAATGTTGCCATTTTCGAGCATTAAAAAAAAAAAAAAAGTGACTGATATTTAAACACAGTCTGGTCAGTGCTATTCTGTCAGGTTCCTGATATTCACCAGATTAGAAAAGGTAGCCTGTAGCATGACAAGTCCCTGGACAGACGGTTTTCTCCATGTGTCGATCGAAAATGAAATATGGAGATGGTAAGTAGTTAGACAGGTAGGTAGGTAGGTAGGTAGATTAGATAGAACAATAAAGACACTGAGGAAGATAATGGTGGATGGATTTATGAACCTGTTGATGGACGGATAGGTATATAGGCAGTGTCTGTTTATTTATATCTTTGTGTATGTCTGTCTGTCTGTCTGTCTGTCTGTCTGTCTGTCTGTCTGTCTGTCTGTCTGTCTGTCTGTCTGTCTGTCTGTCTGTCTGTCTGTCTGTCTGTCTGTCTGTCTGTCTGTCTGTCTGTCTGTCTGTCTGTCTGTCTGTCTGTCTGTCTGTCTGTCTGTCTGTCTGTCTGTCTGTCTGTGTCTGTCTGTCTGTGTCTGTCTGTCTGTCTGTCTGTCTGTCTGTCTGTCTGTCTGTCTGTCTGTCTGTCTGTCTGTCTGTCTGTCTGTCTGTCTGTCTGTCTGTCTGTCTGTCTGTCTGTCTGTCTGTCTGTCTGTCTGTCTGCCTGCCTGTCTGCCTGTCTGTCTGTCTATCTACTTACCTACATATCTACTTACCTAACTACATACCTACCTACCTACCTAACCACCGACCTGCCTATCTACCTACCTATCCAACTACCTACCTACATAACTACCTACCTACATATCTAGCTACCTACCTACCTACTTATCTAATTAACTACCTACCTACCAATCTGCTTGTCCTTCCGTCAGTCTGTCTGTCTGTCTCCCTGCCTACCAGTCTGCCTGTGTCTCTGTATGTCCG